GAAATGAAAAACCAAATTAGCAGTAACACAATTTTAACAGGAGACCTTAACACACCATTGATATCAATGGACAGATCAACCAGACAGAAAATCAACAAAGAAATAAAAGAACTGAATCGCACCTTTGAACAAATGGACTTAATAGACATATACTGAGTATTCCACCCAACAATAACAGAATACACATTCTTCTCAGCAGTACATGGATCATTCTTTAAAATAGACCATATATTAACTCATAGAACATATTTAAAATGCAAAAGTGTCAAAATTATTCCTTGCATGCTATTGGACCATAGCGCTATGAAATTAGAAATTAATAGTGAAAGATACTGCAAAAATCCCACAAACACATGGAAACTGAATAACACACTCTTGCATAATCAGTGCATCACAGAGGAAATTAAAGAAGAAATTAAACAATACCTACAAACAAATGGAAACACAAATGCAACTTACTGAAATCTGTGGGATGCAATGAAAGCTGTTCTCAGAGGAAAATTTATTGTACTGAGTTCCCACATTAGGAAAACAGAATGAATATAAATAAATAACCTGATGTCACACCTCAAACATCTAGAAAAAGAAGAGCAAGTCAAGCACAATGCCAAAAGAAGAGAAGAAATGATAAAAATCAGGGCATAAATCAATACAATAGAGACTAAAAAACAATTCAAAAAATCAACAAATCAAAGAGCTGGTTCTTTGAAAGAATAAATAAAATCGATAAACCCCTAGCTAACCTTATTTTAAAAAGGGAAGAAAAAGCTCAAAGTCATGCAATAAAGAATGAAAGAGGTGAAATTACTACAGACCCTAAAGAAATACAGAAGATCATCAACACCTATTTCAAAAACCTCTACTCTCAAAGGTTTGATAACACAGAGAAAATAGACAGATTCCTAGAAGCATACGAAGTACCAAAGCTAGGTAATGAAGATGTAAAACCACTGAATAAACCAATTTCTATTAATGAAATTGAAGATGAAATTAAATCTTTACCTACAAAGAAGAGCCCAGGCCCAGATGTATTCACTGCAGAATTCTACAAGAAATACAAAGAAGACCTAATGCCAACACTCCTCAAAATCTTCAATGAAATTGAAAGGGAAGCAATTCTTCCTAAATTGTTCCTAGAAGCAAATATTACTCTAGTACCAAAACCAGAGAAGGACCCAACTGAAAAAGAGAACTACAGACCAATCTCCTTAATGAACACAGATGCAAAAATCCTCAGTGAAATATTGGCAAACAGGATGCAGCAAATCAAAAAGATCATACACCACGACCAAGTGGGAATCATCCCAGGCATGCAGAGATGGTTTAATATATGTAAATCAATAAATGTAATAAACTATAGCAATAGAGCCAAAAGTAAGAATCACATGATCATTTCTACAGATGCAGAAAAAGCTTTTGATAAGGTTCAACATTCGTTTATGATAAGAACCTTACAGAAAATTGGAATAGATGGTCGTTACCTCAATATGCTTAGGGCTGCCTATGACAAATCGACAGTCAATATCATACTAAATGGCCAAAAATTGAAGACATTTACTTTAAAATCAGGGACAATACAAGGAGGTCCCTTATCACCACTCCTATTTAATATAGTACTGAATATACTGGCCAGAGCAAATAGACGAGAGAGAGAAATAAAATGCATATAGGAAAAGAAGAAGTTAAATTATCACTATTTGCAGATGCCATGATACTCTCCATAGAAGATCCCCAAAACTCCATTGAAAGACCCCTAGATAGAACACAGAAATTCAGTAATGTAGCTGGATACCGAATCAATATTCAAAAATCAATACATTCCTATACACTAACAGCAAAGTTACAGAGAGACAAATAAGAGAGATCACACCCTTCACACTAGCAACCAAAAAAATGAAATATTTAGGAATTACTCTCATGAAAGAAGTAAAAAACCTATACAGGGAAAATTATAACACCTTGAAAGATGAAACTGAAGATGATCTCAGAAAATGGAAAGACATCCCTTGCTCATGGATAGGAAGAATAAATATTGTGAAAATGGCCATTCTCCCAAAAATTTTATACAGATTCAATGCAATCCTGATAAAAAAATAAACATACTCATTAAGTGCAATGGTTTTAACCTGGGTTGTTCGATTTTAGTGTCAGTGATAGTATGAATAGCTATTCTGAAGAAAACAACACATCCTAAAAGCTAGTGATTTAATATCATCTTGTTTCGAAGTCCCATCAAGCAGTTGTACATCTGTTTCCACTGGTTTTAACATGTTGTATCTTACTATAGTTTACTATACGTGATAATATAAGCAAAATTTTTATAGGCAAAGAGATAATATAGAAACCATTTTTCATTTTCTATTAACTGGTTCTAAATACCCTGTAATTCTTTCATTCTCTTGAATGGCTTCACACTGTCTTGATATGCTTGATGCTACAGTATACAAAGTTATATTCAAATAATTCAAGGAATGAGGCACTATGGTGACTAATATTATGTTAGATTATTTGGGGGGTGAAACACAATGATGCTTAAATAGTTCGGTTCTGACCAGTGTTGTTCTATTACAATGTCCTCTTTTATCTGAATCTCCACTCTTTTTCAAAAATCGATCTATGTTTTCTTAATTTTTTTCAATTAAGGGAAAACTAAATTAAAAAATAGCGGGATATATTATAGTAACATTTTTGTTTTCTTATTAACCTGATTTGAACCCCACTATTGCTCTCCTCATCTTTTTCTGTCTGATTTTACTGAATTCTATATTGTTTGATAGTATCAAGTTTGAAGGTATAGGCAACCACTTTGAAGGCAATAAGATTTACTATAATGCCCATTATGGTTTGATTATTATCTTGTTTTGAAATACTGTAAGGTCTCCAGTGTAGGTTTTATTGGTCTTGTTCTGTACTGTTTTGATCAATTCTATTATACCTGATGAGATGGGCAACTCTTTTTAAAAATAGCAAGAGGCACACTCTTACCCATTTTTGATCACCTGATATTCTATTTTTGCATCATGTACTATGCCCATCCTTCTGTTCTAACCGAATCTTTTGTTTTTTAGTCATGTTAGGTTTTATTCTCTTCAAAAAAAGTAATTAGAACTGTGGCAGTAAAAAAACACAAAAAGTGTAATTGTTATTGTAAAAAAGAGAGGAAATGAAGGTGGTATAAGGGATATAACTGCATGTTTGAGTGTGTAGGATGGAAAGCCATATTACTGAGCTTTTGTTGGATCATTGAATGGAACTGTCTGCAATCTCACTGTATGAATGTCCACTTTATACGCTTTAATTCTATAATTTGGACAACTGATTCTAAGATGAAAATATGTAACCTATTAACCAGTGATTTCTTACTGTATTATTTTTCTTGAAATTCTGTATTATTTATACACTTTTAATGCTTTGTTTTTTATTTCCTTTCTTTTTTCTCTTTAAATAAAAAAATAATCAAACCTGGAACGGATATCTTTTATTAAATTATTTTTGGTACTGTAGATCAAACTCACGACCTCACACTTGCCAGGCAGGTTCTTAAGCCACTGAGCTAAATCCCCTGCTCCCCAAAGTACATATGTTACATCTTGTCATCTTCACAGTAGTTGCCTCTGCTCTTGGACTTGGTACAAGCAAGCATACCAAATGTGAATAAAATCAGTCAAGGCCAAATAACATTCAAACAAACCAGCTTCAAAGAAGATCAGTCATAGAAGACAATATAAGTAATACAGGGTTTCATTTTAAGTTAATAGGTAATTAAGGATAGTTACCATGTTATAACCTGCTATTTTTTGTATTATCTCTCTGTGCCCTCAAATCTAATGTGAGTAGACAGGCTGGAACAAAATATAATCAAACTAACCAGAGCAATAAGTCTACGGTAACTTTTAAATCCTGATACACTTTTAACAATGCCCTCTGCCTTCTTTTTTTTTAGGCAATTCCTCACCTTTCTCCTTCTCAGGATGCTATTTTTCACGGTTGAGAGTGATATTAGTCTATTCTCTTATGTTCAATTTCAGCATACACAAAGATAAAGACAGCTACTATGAAGAGAATGAGAGACATTGTGGTAGTTATTATCGACTTCCCCAAAATCAGTTTGAAGACTGAAAAAGCCTACATCATCCTGTAATTATTTGATTAGTTCTATAACCTTCAGTATATATTCAATGCATTCTAGATGGGAACAACTATTTGGAAGAAAACTAGAGACAGTAAGATAGACAGTGAACATCTCCAGTGGACTTGCTTTGAAATCTGTGTTTCCTTAACTTGTTTACTTATGAACTGTTCTGTTCTGTTTTGTCATGTTTAATCTTACCCTCTTTAAGAAATAAAACAAGTGTGAAGGACAGATAAGCATATTAATAAGTTTTTGTTTGATCATTGAGGTGAACTGTTCGCAGTGTCATTATTTGAATATCACTTTGTATGCTTTATTTTGTAACTTGAACAACTACTCCTAAGATGACAATATGTAACTAATCAACTAGTGATTTCTTATTGTTTATTTTTCTGAAATTCTGTATTATTTCTACACTTTTTTCTGTTTTATCTCTTTAAATAAACATTGCAATTTACCAAAAAACATAAAAATTCAATTTTAAAGACAAAATATTAAGTACATAGACACTATCCATACTTGAAAGTTAAAAGCCCATTTCAGTTTACCATGTTTAATTACAAGATGCCATGTTGAAGCACAAAGACATTTTAAAAAATCTAAAGAGGTACAAGTGGTTAACCGACAACCATACAACATGTGCACTCCAGTAGAGCTCCACCACAGATTTGTCATTTCTGGAAAATTTGTGAAGAAATATTCATATCAAACTTCTGTATTGGTTATTTCTTCAGGTCTCCTTGGGATTTTTAAAGTAAACTTAGATCTAAACTGTCTGAGGAGCGATGCTTTTTCTATGTATTTAACAACAAACATGGATTGCCATATTTCTCACATAGTTAATCCACATAGGATCTCTACCCAGTGAGTTCTTTCAGATATGTAACAATGATCATGTGTGCTGAGAGTATTCCCATAACACATAGGATTTATCTCTAGTGTGAGTTTTTTCATGTATTTCACTTACAATCTGGCTGCTGAGAGTGTCTCCATTTGCTTACATAGCCAGTGGTTCTTCCCAGAGTGAATTCTTTCATGTGTTTTGCAATGACTGTATGCAGTAAAAGCTTTGCCACGTTGTTATATACATTGGGTTTCTCACCAGCGTGAAGTCATTGATGTATTTTACAGTATCCATGTGTGATGAAAGCTTTCCCACATTCTTCACATACACAGGCTTTCTCAACAGTGTAAATTTTTTCATGTATTGGACAATGAGCATTTCTGCTGAAACCTTTCCCACATTACTTACATATATAAGTTTTCTGCCAAGTGTGAAGATTTTCATGCATTATGAAATATGTATGTGTGCTCAAATCATTCTCATGATGCTTATATACATTGGTTTTCTCTTGAATGTGAACTTTCATGTTGCTTACAATGTCAATGTAGGGTAAAATCTTTCCCACATTGCTTATACATATGTTTTCTCTCCAGTGTGAATTCTTTCATGTTTCTTACAATATCTATGTGTGGTAAAATATTTCCCACATTGCTTATACATACGTTTTCTCTCCAGTGTGAATTCTTTCATGTTTCTTACAACATCTATGTGTGGTAAAAGCTTTCCCACATTGCTTACATACATATGGTCTCTCTCCAGTGTGAATTCTTTCATGTTCCTTACAATATCTATGTGTGGTAAAAGCTTTCCCACATTGCTTACATACATAGGGTTTCTCTCCAGTATGAAGCCTTTCATGTTTTTTACAACCTGCCCATGTGTTAAAAGCTTTCCCACATTGCTGACATACATATGGTTTCTCTCCAGTGTGAATTCTTTCATGTTTCTTACAATCTCCCTGTGTTTTAAAAGCTTTCCCACATTGCTTACATACATATGGTTTCTCTGCACTGTGAATTCTTTCATGTCGCTTACAATGTCCAGATATGGTGAAACCTTTTCCACATTGCCGACATACATATGGTTTCTCTCCAGTGTGAATTCTTTCATGTTCCTTACAATGTCCGTGTTTGGTAAAAGCTTTCCCACATTGCTTACATACATAAGGTTTCTCGCCAGTGTGAATTCTCTCATGTTCCTTACAATTTCCTTGTGTCATAAAAGCTTTCCCACATTGCTTACATACATAGGGTTTCTCTCCAGTGTGAATTCTTTCATGCTTCTCACAATTTCCCCGTGTGTTAAAACCTTTCCCACATTGCTTACATACATAGGGTTTCTCTCCAGTGTGAATTCTTTCATGAATCCTACAATGTGCACGTGTGTTAAAAGCTTTCCCACATTCCTTACATACATATGGTTTCTCTCCAGTGTGAATTCTTTCATGCTTCTTACAATTTCCCCGTGTGTTAAAACCTTTCCCACATTGCTTACATACATAGGGTTTCTCTCCAGTGTGAGTCCTTTCATGAACCTCACAATATCTATGTGTGGTAAAAGCTTTCCCACATTGCTTACATACATAGGGTTTCTCTCCAGTGTGAATTCTTTCATGAATCCTACAATGTGCACGTGTGTTAAAAGCTTTCCCACATTGCTGACATACAAAAGGTTTCTCTCCAGTGTGAATCCTTTCATGAACCTTACAATATCTATGTGTGGTAAAAGCTTTCCCACATTGCTTACATATATAAGGTTTCTCTCCAGTGTGAATTCTTTCATGCTTCTTACAACCTCCCCTTGTGTTGAAAGCTTTCCCACATTGCTGACATACATAGTGTTTCTCTCCAGTGTGAATACTTTCATGTTCCTTACAATGTCCGTGTTTGGTAAAAGCTTTCCCACATTGCTTACATACATAAGGTTTCTCACCAGTGTGAATTCTCTTATGTTCCTTACAATGTCCTTGTGTCATAAAAGCTTTCCCACATTGCTTACATACATAAGGTTTCTCTCCAGTGTGAATTCTTTCATGCTTCTCACAATTTCCCCATGTGTTAAAACCTTTCCCACATTTCTTACATACATAGGGGTTCCCTCCATTGCAATATTTTTCATGGGTCTGAACATTGTGGTGTGTTTCTGTTTCTTTCACAATCACATTACCTCCTGCAGTACAAAGGAATACTTCTTTACACAGATTCCAAGATGTATGTCCATAGAATTTCCCTAGCTTGTCATTTCTGTAAAGAAAAAAATCATATATCAGATTGATAACTATATTACTAAGTTTTGTTGGAGAGTTGAATAAAACTGTTCGCAGTCTTGCTTTTTGAATCCCTATTTCATATGTTTCACTTTTGTATTTGATTAACTATTTCTATGAGCAGCATATGTAATCATCGTCTTGTGATTTCTTACTGTTCATTTTCACTTTGAATGTAGTATTATTTCTACTTACTTTGTTTTATTTAATCTTTCCTTACATTAAATTAAAAAAAAAGAAAAATTCACAGTGAAATGGGTCTCAGTTTAATGACTGCATTAATGTCAAGTTCTGTTTTTAATGCCTAAGAAATTCTGACCATGAAGCAACAGAATGGCCTGAAAACAGCCATTCCCAAAAGACTGGTACACATTTAGAAATCTTAAAAGGTGGTACCTTATGAAATGCAGAATATTTAGCTTCTCTTTGGGCATGGGCACTTACGTGTATCACAGACAGATCATTCTGATATGGTTCCCCATCACAATCTTGCTTCTGTCCTTAACTTGTAGTTCCCTTTTTCATATGGTCAGTCTTACTTTTATCTATTAATTCTCTTTTGCTTCATTCCACAATTTTTATTTTGGTTTCCTATCTAAAAGAAACCCTGTGACCTTTTACGTTTTATAGCTGAGCTATTTCTCTCAAATGCTGGGGGAAAGGCCCATCTGTTTCTTATGGCAAATGACATTATATTATTTATTTTTTGACATTATGTAAAACATTTTTTTCTTTTCCAGGCTGGAAATGAACAACAGGTATTAGCATAATATCTATAGCTTTTTAAAATCCGTTTTAAGAGACTTTCATTGATCATTAAGCTTTGAAGTTTGAACTTGAATTTGCCATTCTGCAAAATCTGATTCATAGTGTGCTGGGTTTATAAGAATGCACAATCACAGAGAGTCTATTAACATTTTCCTTCTTCACAAATCCAGTGATAGATAGCTAAGCTTCTTCAAGGCCTGATCTATTATAACTTTATCTGCTTTGTAAATGAGTAAGCATGTATCAGTATTTTATGCATATTTTGAGATTTTAAAAATATAACCAAGACAAGTATGAGGGGATCAATTTCCAGAGACAACTGCATACTGATATTCAAAATGAGTGCATTAACATTCCACCAGCCTACTAAGAATTTTAATTAGAATGGCTGATTCTCTAGAACATGGCTTGGAAACACGAGCACTCAGTTTTATTTCAAATCTATTGCAATCATAGCAATTTATAGATAATGAATGTGTTGCATTCACATGTATATATTGGTACAAAATTTGTTAGATAATGAATGTGTTGCATTCACATGTATATATGTGTACAAAAACTGAAGACAGAATGTCATAACTCAAAGTGTATGCCTTTTGTATACATCTATATGCAATGTCATACATTTCCATGATTTAATTCACTCATTATACATACCCTAGCTTACATATCTTCAGAGAATATTATTGACATTAAATTGAATGGTGGTCATTTTTCTATTGACTCACTAATTACTCAGGAACATTCCTTGTCCTTGTGAATGTGGATTACCTTAAGTATCTCCAGTAAATTTTGCATTCTTTTTCAGCTTCCTGGATATTCCCAAGTCCTCCTGAATTGTAGACATAGAAATACCAGGACTCATTAGAGTAATATATACAAATTAATACATTTTGTTTAGATATATGATATAACGTGTCCAGATTTGAGGTAGTTTTAAAAATATTTTCATGTTCTTTTTAATGAAACAGCATTGATGAGCAACAAACAATATTCTGACAGCGTGAGTGACAAAAAGATTTCATCCTTACCTATCGCAATCATGTTGCTAACAGTTTCGCCCATCACATCTCTGTAGAGGTTCTTTTGGAATGGACTCAGCAAAGTCCACTCTTCATTGCTGAAGTTCACGACCACATCCTCAAAGATCACTGCGTCCTAAAGGATCATACATATATTTCTCAAAGGAAGATTGAGACCCCAGTTTTGGGATATCTTAAACTCTCTCCTACAAATCTGAATCAAAAGCAAAGTGTGGTGGTGCATATCTATAATCCCAGCACTCAAAAGACTGAGCCAGGATGGTTTCGCTGAGGTCAGGGCAATTCTAGGCTCCATAGGATGTTCGAATCCAGCTGATATACATACAGAAAGCTTTTCTCAATAAAACAAAACTAAACTAATAAAATGAAAAAAACAGCTGAATGAAGACTGATTTCTTCAAATTAAATCCATGTCTTTGTCATTAATTTTGTGTATATACACATTTTTGAAGACAGCAAAGTTGATGCTAGATTTTAACTCACTGCTAATGTAACAGGCAAATAGGAGTACTGATTCTTGTGCTGAGTCACTGCAAGATTCCCTGTGCACTGTCTCTAAAGTACAGCTCACAGTGAGAAGCCTGCAGGACCAGCAACCACAAAGCACAGAGACAAATAAATATCTCATCAATCAACTGGGAAGCCAAGCAAGCAATTCCTCTCCCTGGTCAGCGGTGGTGGTTTGGCAGACTGCAGCCCTTCCAGGGTGAAAACCAGCAGCAGCTCCTGAGATCCATGCAATATTGGAACTTAGGACACTGGGAAGCCAAGCAAGCACCACCACTCCCTGGTAAGTGGTGGCGGTTTGGCCGACTGCAGCCCTTCCAGGGGGAGAACCAGCTGCAGCTCCTGAGATCCATGCCATGTTGGAACTTAGGACACTGGGAAGCCAGGCAAGCATCTGCCTTCCCTGGTGAGCAGTGGCAGTCTCCAAACTGCAGTCCTTCCAGGGGGATAACCAGCAGCAGCTCCTGAGATACATGCAATATTGAAACTTAGGATGCTGTGAAACCAAACACCATCCTGTCTCTCTACTAAGCAATAGTGAACTTACTGATGCACCACCTAGAGTCAAATATTCCATTTCCCCTACCCCTCTACTCCTGTCACTCCCCTACCCCCCCCAACCCCGTTAGCAAATGAACTAGAAATCTGAGCGTCTCCTGGAAGTTGACCATAGCAAATAAGGGGGACTTTCTTCTACTATCTCTTTGAAGGCAAATATTTTTATTACTGTTTGGCTCTATACTGATTAATGGTACTGCTCTATTCAATATTCTGTTTTGATAAGTTCTATAATGTTCTGTATTTCATCTCATTTTGATATACATGTTTGAAAGAAAAACTATTATAAAGATAATGAAATATACTGTGATACCTACTACTGTTATCCCAGTAACCTGTTGTGAAGTTGTGTACCAATTTCACTGTATGATCTTAGTTGGGCTTATTCTGCCTTCTTCTGTTGTATTTTATCTATTTCAAAATTTAAAAAAAGAAAAAAAGTCTCATCAATCACTTTGATAGACTATGGAAGATGTATCTTCAAATCTCATTTAGGCCAGTGAGTACTTTGTTCTTAATATAGTTAAGCAGCATTTTGAAATATGAATTTGGTTTCATAGAACAAAACATATATAACATCAAATATGGTACATAAATAATAACTCAAATGTTAGTGGAAAACAGCTATATTTTAAAAATATGTATATAAAATGAAAACAGGCCCAAGCTGTAAATTATAGCTCACTGTCACCAAGTGATCACTTTCAATTCAGATATAAGAATTATATGTTGGGAGGCTGGTGATGGAGTTCTTCCTTGAACTTGCGGCTATCCTAAAGTTACAGAGCTGTCTAAAATAGACAAACCCTGACTGAGATACCCCACAAACAATGTGAAATCTAAAAAGTGATTACATAAAATAGCTTTAGTTTGTTTTAAAAAATTATAGCCATACAATACAGAAAAACTCCAACAATACTCAACACTTTCTGAGAAACAATGTGGATATCTTTCATACTACACAGAAAATATGTTCATAGTTGAGTATTTAGCTCACTGGCATGACCGCCTGCCTGGAAAGCATAGATCATGAGTTTGATCCTTGCTACAAAAATATTCAAATTTCACCTTCATGACACTGGGGCATAAGTAGAGATAATCAAAATTAGATCTCAAGTATGAAACACAAAATTCATAGGTTGACAGGGATAAGGAATACTGATTGTTGCCAGAGCTGGTGTTGATCACCTCAATGAAGCAATCAGAACCCAACTTTAACTTTATACTTACTCTAAGAACTACCTGACTTTCAGTAAAGACCTTCTCTGTTGTATGTCCTGCTATTTGCTTCCTAAATCCTGTCAATCATTTTCACATCCTTTCTACACTTCTCTGTTCCATCCTAAGCAGAAAACCCTTCATGCCTAACTTTTGATATAAATGAAAAATTTCTATTGATGGCTCCTCCTTTACACCACTTAGAAAAGTCCATTGCAGAGCATTTCCATATTTAAACTGTCTATGTACAACCAAGCTACTAAATCAGCTCTTAATTCAGAGATGACACCTGTATTCCTTTCCATTCAAAGGATATCCCCAGTATATGTCCATGCAAATGCCTAAATTTCAGCATTTTTCGATGAGAATTTAACATGTAGCACTTTCTGGAATTAGTCCTTCACAAACTTTTACCCTAGCCTTGATAAAACTTCATATTTGCTTCATTTTTCTCAGACTTCAAAACTCTATGGCTATTCCCACAAACCTAGTCTGTGAGCAGTAGTGCCACCTAAATAATTATGTTCAGAAATAATTTGCAATGATCTGTATAATACACAGGAGTTCACCAGGTGTTTGGGAAGCCTTTCTCCAATGACGCACACTACTACAAATCTCTGAATCCTCAGGACCTTTGTCACTACCTGTCCTGAGGATGGAAATAAGAGAATATAAATTTAGGAGATCATTATAAATACAAAAAAGCCCAAGTTTAAGTTGAGCCATTGTGGCTATGAGGCCCT